CGACACACCAGACTCATCACCTCCCAAAAGGCAGCGTCGTGACGCTCCGGATTTGTCACCTCCCAGGCGGCGTCAACGTCATGATACTCCTGACCCATCACCTCCCAGGAGACGACGTCACGACACCCCAGATCTGTCCCCTCCCAGGCGGCGGCAACGTCACGATACTCCTGATCTGTCACCTCCCAGGAGACAGCGTCACGATACTCCTGATCTGTCACCTCCCAGGAGGCAGTGTCACGACACACCGGACTCATCACCTCCTAGGCGACAGCGTCATGACACCCCAGATCTGTCCCCTCCCAGGAGGCAGCGTCAGGATTTGTCACCTCGAAGAGAGAAGTCCCCGGGTGGGAAAAAGAGCCGAACAAAAGGTGAGTGTCACACTGTGTCCCCTGCACCCTGGGGGTTCCCAGGGATTGTCACCATGCTGCCACAGGTGAGTGCTGGTACCCTGCTGGCACAGCTGGCAGTGGCAGGTGCCCGTCCCTGTAGGCACAGCTGGGTCTTGTCCTCCTTGTTCACGACTGGGCGAGAATTAACCCAGCCTGGAATGCCTCTGCTGCAGCCTGGGCTGTGTCCASAGCGATTCCCTGAGTGTGATCCTCTCAGGGGGAATCAGCAAATCCTCACTCTCTGATTTATCTCCTCCAGGACCGACTTCGCCCGCCAGGAAGGACCAGCGCAGGTCACGGAGTCCCCCAGAGCACTCCCAGCGTCACCGGGACACCAAGGGCTCTCCCAAGAAGGTAAATGTTGCCTCTTTCCCTTCCAGCTGTGTGTTGCTTCCTGTGGTGCAAAACTGCAATTCTAACAATTGATAAACCAGGGAAGTTTTTGTACAAATGGCTCCCTGCCCTGTCCCTGTAGTCCAGTCACCCCTCGCTGTGCCTTTGCTGGCTGCCCTGCTCTCAGCCAGCTGTAAAGGTGACATTTGTGTTGTTTCCAGGCCAGCACGATGTCATCCGGGGCCACAGCTGGGCTGGTGTCGGCCGATGTGCTGCGGAAAGAGAAGCAGGAGCTCCGCAAGCGCGAGAGGAGCACCAAGCACCTGGAAGGTGGGAGTGTGGCAATGCAGCCACAGCTCTCTGCCTTCTCCTGTGCTCTGCCAGGCCCTGGCACTGAGATGCTGCTCGGAGCATCCCTGTGGAGCTGCATCTGGACATGCTGCTGGAAGCCTTGGCCAGGCTCGCTGTTCCACGTGGGCATTTCAGAGCGGTGCCAGGGAAATCACACAGAGTGTGAAATGCTTTTAGTCTGCAAGTCTGAAGGAGCTGATGGATAATCAGAGAGCTCAGGGTCTGTGTGGGGCAGCAGGGAAAAGCACGAGCTGAGATCCTGCCTGGCTTTTTGGGAAATTAGGACAAGCAAAAGGAAAGTCACA